CGGATATCTATTGGTCCCCCCGATAGCTACCCGATTGGTCCCTGATATATGCCTGAAATATGGATTTCGACCTGTGTTTGTCAATATATAAAATTCTCTATAATCACTAATCATATATTGATAATTATAGGAAGAACAATTTCTATATTTACCATTTTTATAATCACTAAAAATCCTAATCCTAATAGTGTGATTATAGAGAGACCTGACTGTATAAATATTTCACCTATAAATATATATGAAATTATTATTTCAAATAATGATGAAGTATATAATAAAGATTTTCATTATACTAAATTAATATCAGGTTTTATTCAAGAAAGTAATATATTAAAAATTCCAATTTCTCATAATAATCCTAATTTAAAATCACTATTGTTTTTAAATTTATTTACTAATAATAAAGGTTATTTTTATTATATTACAAATCAATAATTACCAAATAATAATAATAAAAAAGAAACTTATCACAAATATATTAAATAATATTTAATGAATTATGATTCAAAATAGTGATTACATCATTATTGGTCTTCATAATTATATTTACAATTGGAAAAATTAAGACATAATCAAAATATATAACATTTATTATAACAATCATATTCAAATTTAAAATAATAATTTATCAACTGCATGAGATTTACTTCAATCAAGTACTTATGAATTATGTAATATAATTAATAAAAATAAAACATTTTTACTTTTAACATTTATGTAAACTGAAGATTTATATTTTTATAAAAAATAATTTCACTTAAATACAATATTAAAAAAAATTAGGATTGTTTACTTTATTTATTACATTAAGTACAACTGAAAATCATTGGATCTATTTACATGATATATTAACTAATAGTAATAATAATAATATACTTCTTACTACAGTCGGGTCTCTCTATAATCACATTTTTTATACATTAAGAAATTTTTAAGGACGAATAATTCTGTAAGTTTATAAGATATAAAATTTCCATAAATTTTTACATAAATTTTCATAAATTTTAATAAATCTTCAAAATTTTTTAATATAAAATTTTACAAAAATTTTTTACATTAAAAAATTTCATTAATTTTTACAGAATATTATGAAAAGCTTTTTATAAATTTTCAAAATTTTTATTACACAAAACATCATGAAAAATGTAATATTCCATTTAATAGACTAAATATGTAACACAAAATAATCTTGTTTATCTTGTTTTGAACTTTTTCAAAAACTATTTATAAAATTTTAGAAGACAAAAATTTTTTAGAAATTTTCAAAACTTGATTATTTCTCAAGTAAGTGTGTTGGTTTTGACAAGATTAGACATCATAAAATCTTTATTTGATATTGTGTTTTCAGGTAATTCGAGACTCTAACGAAACTTCTTAAGTCCTTTTAATTATAGATTAAAGTAGAGTCCCTTTTCTTAAATAATGTAATTCTTATACTGCAATACTTTGCTTTTTCTGTTGTGTTTCTATATAACAGATATTAGTTCAGTAAGTTATATTCATAACTTTACTGTGTCTTTACCTTTTCTATAGTTTTCAGAATAACAAGTAGTCACTCAACAGGTTATTTATAACCTTGCTATCTAGAAATTAGATACTCTCAAATACTAATATACTTATTTAAAAAATAGTGTACAAAGATTGAATCAGTTTATTCAATACTATTTCTAACATCTTTTTTCTTTATTTTTCTTTAGTTTCAATAATAATAAATTTTCAGAATTTTTCAAAGATTTTCAAATTATTTTTATGAATTTTATTTTTTTTCAAATATTTATAATTATAATTTATTAAATTAGTATTTAGTTTTTTTAAATATTATTAAATTAATTATTATTTTTTGCAATATTTTATTAAATCTTTATTATATAAAAAAATATATGTAAAAAATATAATAATATAATAAAATATATATAAATTGAATTTTTTAAAAATTTTTTTATATTCTGTATGTATATTTATTATAATATTCATAATATATAATAATATATAATATATAAAAATTAATAAATTTATCTATCGACTTTTTTCTTTATTTTCTCTTACTCTTATTTCTCTTCTTGCTTCTTTTATATCTCTTATTCTTACTTCTTTTCTTATTACTTCTCCTATTTTTCTTATTTTTTTTTATCCACATTTGATATAGTTGAGTTACTTTCACATTTGATATAGTTGAGTTACTTTCTAATTCATCTTTATCAAAATCTGACTCTCTCAAATCAAATTTTTCACCATTTTCCATTTTTTTTTATCAATATAAAATTTTTTTTTAATATTTTAAAAAATTAAAAAAATCTGAATATTTTTAATACTTACTAGATTTTTTTTCAATCTCTTATATAAATATTTACTATTATTTTTAATATCTTTATTATTAAGGTTTAAAAAACTTTTACATAATGTTATAACGAAAGCTATTTGTTTATTAGAAACTTTTGAGGTGTCCTCCTACACTTTGTTAATTATTTTTTCACATCAGATTTCATCTTTATCATTCGTTATTTTTGAATATAATTTTTCATAATATTTTTTAACAATTGACAACTCTTTCTAAACTTTTATCTTACTTGAAGTTACATTTATATTTATTTTCAGGAGATTCCTAAATACAAAAAATATAAAATATCTGATTTGAGTAGATAGCACCTCTCTTCTGGACCGATGTTTTTCTTTTAACTTTAAAATAATTCAAAATCTTTTGTTAATTGTTGAAATATTTAGATTATAATATATTCAGTAAAACTTATTTTTTCTTTAAAAATTAAATCATAATAAAATGTCCGGTGGTTATTTTTTCAGCTTTCAAAAAGTTCTGAATATTTTTTTATTAAGTAACTTGTTACAGTTACTTTAAAAGTAACATCATTAGATATATGTTTTTGATTAACTTGCTTCAATTTCTCCAACAATTTTCTTTTTTTTCAAAATATTATGAGTAAAATAGTTTTTTTTTATAAAAATAAATAAATAAAATAAAATATTTACTTTAATAAATATTGAATTATACATATCATCACTTTTTTTCATCATTCTACTACTTGCCATCATTTTTCAGATGTCTAAAATTTCCTTTCGAAGGTCTCCAACTTCCTTGTTAATTTTTTTTAAATAATCTAATACACGATCTTGCTTTCTTTTTCTTGTTGACAAATATTCTTCTTCTAATAAAATAAATTATATATTGTAAAATATTTTTATTAAAATTTTTTGAAATTTTTTGAAAATTACTATTGAAATACTGTTCTTCCCTTCCTTTTTTAGTCCTTCTTCTTTTAGTTATATGAGTTAATGGTAATACCTGTAATTCTTTATCAAATGGTCTTATTAATACATCCTCCATTTCACTTTTTCCCTTTTTTCTTATAAATGATGTTAATACTTCTGCTACTGTTAGAGTAGATGTTGTTGCCAGAGTAGATGCTATTACTGGAGTAAATGCTATTACTGATATCTTGTTCTTTTTTTTTACTCTTTTAGATAAAAGATCAGAAATTCTTCTTTTATTTTTTTTTTTATTTTTTTTGATAAAAGCTAATTAAAGGTTTTGTGATATTTTGAAAATTTTTAATAAGAATTTATTTTAATATTTATTTATTTACAAATATTTTCAAAATTTTTATAATAAAGTTAGAAGAATTTCAATTCTTTATATACATTTTTTAGCTATTTCATTTTTTCAGATTTTAATAATATTCGAATATTTTTTAAATATTTTATTATATTTCATTTATTAATTTGATACATATCGAAATTACTAGTATTATCTTTCATTAGATGTCAATTCCTCCTCCCTTCCTTTCTTTTGGAATACATCATGATATTAAATTCTAATTATTGTCTTAGGATATTTAATTATATAAAATTTAAAAATGAAAAGTAGTATTATCAAATATTTTTGCATATGTAATAATATATTATAAACATTAATTATTATATGCAATTTCTCAATATGTTAATTATCTATTAATTAAATTTCTATATATTGAACTTTATGAAACTAATAATTAATAATAAAAAAAATGATAGAATTGTTGAAGTAAAATAAAAAATAAAATATTGTATTATATATATATATATATATAAAAGTCACCGATAAGTATTCAATAATAAGAAAAAAGTATTCAATATTGAAGAATATACAGTGGTCAATATATACCTAATATATTATCGATATATTGAAAATATGTACCTAATAAAAAATAAATGAAATTGAATATTCAATAAGTATATGATAAATTTTGAAAAAAATATCAAAAAATTGAAGTTCGATATGTACCTGATATCTGCTCAATATGTATTTGATATGTGTTTAAACTTTGATATGTTCACTTTACCTATTGAATATCTAATATATTATAATTTATAAAAAATCAGATACCTATCAAATATTCAATAAATATATAATAAGAACTGATTTTTCATAATTTAACTAGTGGTAATATTATATTAAAAAAAATTAAATTATATATTTATTTTATAGTACATTTTCAAGTATGTGATTGGGTAGTGTAATTTTTAAATATATTATATATAAAAAATGAAAAACACATTACTTTTTGATTATATGTTTTCAGGTATATTTTCCATTAAGTTAAGATATAGTAATCTTTAATAATATTATATATAAAATATAGAAGAATACTACACTTTTTATAGTAGCTAACTTTGATAATATATTATAATAATTATGAAAAATGATTACTTATTTTAGTAATATGCTTTTAGGTATGTTCTTAGAATAACTAATTTCAGTAATATATATTTATCTTCTTACATATATGCTCAAAGTTAACTTACTTTTTTTGTCACTTATTTTATATTGTATTAGGTTTTCAAATATATATTTAACTGATAATATAACCTAATAGCATATATATGATAATATTATTGATAATATTTATATAATATACTTAGTATATATATTTTGTAACATTAATCGATAGCATAATTAGATATTGTATATATAGCATAACCAGATATTACATATATAGCATAATTAGATAGTGTATATATTATGCATATTCTCAAAATTGATTTTGGATTTTTGAGATATTTCAACTTTTTTGAAATTTATGCAGAATCTATTTTATATATGGAAATAAAAAAAGTATTCAGTTATATATATCTTTAATCAAAGAATAATTCTGGATAATTAAAAAAATTTGAATTTTAAGTAAAATAAATTTGTTTTCTATAAAAAACTATTTTAACTTTTTTTCTTAAAATTGCAATTTTGAGATTTCAAAATAATTTTACATGCAAGTATAATATATATATTGTATCTGAGATTAACTTTTTGCATCAGATCATCACATCAGATATCACCTATTGACCAGAATTATAAAACCAGCTTATGTTGATCCTTTTAATTTCACCCTAATTTTACCTTAATTTTGACTATACCTGCCACCCAAATTCAAAATCCAAATGCCGAAATTCCAAATGCCGAAATCCCAAATCCCAAATCCCAAATTA